ACAATACCAACCCGGACGCCAAGATTTATACCGTTCTCCGGCGACGGAGCCCTTCCTGGGACACCAGCGATCTCAGTCGATGGGGAGGCAAGCAGACACACGCGCCGGTGACCAACCACGAGGGGGCCGGAGGTTCTTTTCTGAGCTCTCAGCACTCGAGTATTTCAATGTGCGTCATTTGGCCGTGCTTCTGATGGCGCCTCATGTCGAGTCGGAGTTCACTATGGATGAGCTACTGAGCTTTATCGATGCGAAGAAGCCGGCCACCTTCTGGAAGAATATTGGCAAGGCATTCAAGAACGACCGGTCCAAGGCCGTCAAGAAGAAGGGCATTTTCGGCGTCCCACTAGAAGTGATTATCGAAAAAGACGGCGCCGAGTCGACAGACGGTGTCGGCCCTGGAGCTTTGAAGATCCCTGCTGTCGTCGACGATATCATCAGGGCCATGAAGGGTATGGATTTGTCAGTGGAGGGGGTGTTCCGAAAGAACGGCAACATCAAGAAGTTGACAGACCTCGTTGAGAGGATTGATCGCGATGGATGCGACAGCATCAACCTAACAGAACAACCGGTCGTTCAGATTGCCGCTCTGCTCAAACGATACCTGCGCGAGCTTCCGGACCCGCTCCTCACCCACAAACTTTACCGCCTTTGGTTGACCATTTCCAAGATCACGGACGACAACAAGAGGATAAACTGTCTGCATCTGAGTTGCTGCCTCCTGCCCAAAGCGCACCGTGACTGCATGGAAATCCTCTTCTGCTTCCTCAAGTGGGCAGGCTCTTTCCACCAAGTCGACGAGGAGGTTGGCTCTAGGATGGACATCAAGAACCTCTCGACTGTCATTGCGCCTAACATTCTCTACACAAACGCGAAGGCGCTAGCCCTGGACAGCGATCCAATGTTTGCCATCGTGGGAGTGGAAGATCTGATCAGCCATATCGAGGAGATGTGCTTGGTGAGTACCTGATCACCGAGTCTCGTAGGCGGCCAAGCTAACCAAGCTACACTAGGTCCCTGACGAAGTCATGGGTCTCATGGATGACCCATTCGTGATCGCGGGCGGCAATGCTGATCTCTCTACGAAGGAGATTCTGAAGCGCTACCAGGACCGCATGGGTCAGAAACCTGCGGGCTTCGGAGGCGACATGGGCGAGATTCACAACCGTCAAGACAACTCGTCTCGTCCGCCACCAACACGAGTAGACACGGACCCCGGTGTCTACAAGCAAGCCAGCAGCGTTCGTCCGGTGATGGACACACCTGCGCCCTTTAACAACACGCAGATGCCGGGCACTCCCCCGCAGGTCTGGAGGGGGCCTGGCGACTCGGGACATCCTTCGCCGTACGGAAGCCAAGGGAACCAGTACGAGACGGCAGACGCGCAGCTTGAGCAGACCGAAGGCGGGCCCAAGAGAGAATGGCGCAACTCCGGTTGGGGACGACCGAATGGGGTTGGAGTTGGCGGCAATATCTGAGGTCTCACAACTGACGAGTCATCCTGATTACCGACGCTTCGGCTTTGAGAGCGAGCTTCAAGTGCATGACCGCGATGGGCGGGGGAGCGACGGTACGAGAAGCCGACGAACCACTGTCGGCGTCGTCGTGCATCTCCTGTCGAGGAGACATCCTGGTTTGCTCGCAAGGGAATTCCATCTATTCGCATTGCATCACCAGCGGCGTTGTTAGCCTTTTTCTTCAGTTCAGTCCAGGACAAACCAAAAAACAGACCTGCCATTTCCGATTACCCGCGACCGAGCTTGTTTCCTTTGACCTCATGTGGATCAACATGTTCGATTTGGCGGTACGGTGAATTTGCATGCTCTTCTTTTCGTGTCTTCTTGTTCTTCTGCCACTTGTGGCTTGCTCACGTGGCGCAATTCTTTGATCATATTGTGAGCCATGCGTCAGTCTGGGCCTCGCCCTTGTGAGTCTGGCGGTAGGCTGAGGGGAAACTCTTCGGGTTGTTTCTACACTGCTTCTCCAAATTCTCCCGACCGCACCGCTGGGAGAGACTCATAAGGCTTCACCCTAGTTTGTGTGTATTTGTGCTGGTTCTGTCGTGTCAGGAGGGTGAGCAGCAGGGAATTTGGGGGCGCTCTATGCGGCTTGTCTCGTTATGCTCGGCGATTTACTCGGGTTGGAGGACGCAACTGCAAATTTGTTCTGCTTGGCAGACTCAAACACTTGTGCCCACGTGCGTGGTGGTGAGATGATTGGAAAAGGCAACAGAGCATGAGTCCACAGGTGGTTGGATGAGCACAGGAGGTCCCAGAGATGTCTCCTTTTAACTACAAAGGACAGCACGTAGCCGCTGCCTAGGCATTTTTTTGCAATCGAAACGGATGGCCAACCGCTTTGCTGCCATGTTTTTAACACTTGCATGTTTGACTCCTCCTCGAGCTCTCTACGAATGCAAAGGAAAAAGAATCGTTATGAGTCGTTATGAGTTGATTATGTAGTACTGTCCCATATCTCGTCGAAGGGGGTATAACAACGTAGACATGGCACTCTTCCAGCCGAGCCACTCTTCCTGCCATCCCCTGGGCAGGTTCCTTTCTCAAGCCCCCTCCCTACTTTTTTTTTCTCTCTACATACAACCCTTCTCTTGACATTCACGTTGCCTCTACTCTCGCTCTTGCACATGCCCTCCTCATACGACCTTCTCGATGAGGCCTGCGGCTTCTTGGTCGAGGAACCACCTGACGCCCCTCTTGATGCCGTCGTCGAGGCTCACAATGGGCCGGTAGCCGAGCACGCGCTTGGCCTTGGTAATGTTGTAATAGCGCGTCATGCAGCTGAAGACGCAGCGCTGGCGCGTAAAGGTGGGCGTCTTGCCGAGGATGTGGAAGACGACCTCGGAGGCGAAGCCCAGGACGAGGCCGAGCTCGCGCGGGATGGCCCAGACGTGGCTCGTGCCCTTGTCGCTGCCGGCGGCGCGCCAGATGGCGCGCGTAAAGTCCCAGAAGTAGATGGGCGCGTCGTTGGTGACGATGAAGGCCTCGCCGTCGACGCGCTCGTGGTCGAGGGGCACGGTCGGGGCGCGGGCGGAGACGAGGAGCAGGCGGGCGGCGAGGAGGTGGGCGTGGGCGATGTTGGCGACGTGGGTAAAGTCGAAGAGGTTGTCGCCGTCGCCGATCTGGAAGCCGGTGCGGTTCTGGCGGTGGATGCGGATCATCTGGTGCGTCACCATGGTGTCGCCCTCGCCAAAGATGCCGGCGGGCCGGATGGCGGTCGTCAGGAGCTTGGAGTCTTCTTGGCGGTTGGCGGCGAGCACGAGCTGTTCGGCTTCGGCCTGCGGGTTTGAGTGGGTCAGTCAGACTGTTGCGCCTCTTTTTGATCCGTTGCAGTAGGAGAACTCGGGCAAAAAGGGAGGAAGCGGAAAGGGGGAAAGGATGCTGACCTTGGTCTCCGTGTAGTACTCGGTCTGGGCCTCGCCGCGGATCAGGGGCCAGCGCTCGTCGGCGTTGATCAGATCACTCTTGTTGTCGCTGATGACGCTGGCGGAGCTGGTGTAGACGAGGGCGGTGACGCCGGTCTGCTGGCAGGCGCGGATGACGGCGGCGGTGCCGTCCACGTTGACCTTCTTGAAGAGGTCGTTGGCGACGGCGGCGGCGGCGTGGGGAGCGGGACTGGCCGTGTGGATGACGACGTCGGGCTTGACATCCTCGAAGATGGAGAGCAGGCGGTCGGCGTCCGAGATGTCGGCCTCGTGGTAGGCGACGCGGTCGGCGTCGGGACGGCGGTTGCGTTGGCACTTGAGGTCGATGACGGAGACGGCTGAGGCGCTCCAAAGAGGCTCGTCGAGGATCTGGTTAACGACGTGGTGGCCGAGGAAGCCATTGCCTCCAATCACGAGAACACGGCCGAGATCACGGGCCTGCTGCTGCTGGGCGGCGGGCGCAGCGGCCGCTTTCGAGGGAACAGTCTTCTTCTCGGACATTGTGACTGCTTGTGGAAGGGGTGAGAGAGAGAGAGAGAGGTATTGGGAGAAAGGGGCGTGGGCGTGGGGATCGGGGGGCAGAGGGCGCAGAGAAGTCGTCGTTGGCCTGGCGAGATCTGCGAATCTGGGGTTGTCAGCACGTTGCTCTCGGGGCGAGATAGCACTGGGAGCACCAACAGGGGGTAAGTACAGGTACTTCAGGGTGCACGCGAAACGGCCGGCGACAGAGGGTAGCTGTACAGCAATCTCCCCTCGTCTGGCACCCCCTCTGGCACCCCCTCTGGCACCCCACCAGCAGCGGGGATGCTCGGTGAAGGTTACAGGGGCTCATTGCCTATTCTTCGCCTCGAGGCGGTCCAATTGGGGAGTTTGGGGCAAAACTACGGGCGGCCTTGGGATGGCCCCAATGCCACCAATGGATGTCGAATGCCAAGTGGAAGGCAGCGCTGCTTGGGTGCTCGTACTTTGTCAGTGGTTGCTTTGTATTTCTTTTCTTTTCTTTTCCCGAGTTCATCAACATGTTCACCGATGCTCCGGGACGCAGAGCAGCACCTTGAGGGACCCTTTCCAGACAATGTTCTGCAGTGCAGGCGCCCGATTCTCCAGAGGAGCCAGCCCGATGCATCTTCCCAGCTGTGGGAACGAGCGACCCGCTACACCTCCCTGGTCTTAGGAACCTTACCTACCTACCTTACCTACCTACCTGAGGTACGTAAGGTACTTACCTACCTACCTGAGGTACGTAAGGTACCTAGGTACAAAGGCAACGAACACACACTGACCTGAGGTACTGCTTCTGCGCCTCGGCATGTACGTACCTTGTCAGTGCCACGGCGGCGGCGAGGGGTCACCTGGACGACTTCACACAATATTGACTCTGCTGCCTGTCATATTCCCATCCCGAACCTTGCGTGCCCATTGATTACCCACGCTTCGTCTGCATGCGGCCTTTTGGGCGCCTGCTCCGGTCATTTTTCAACAACTATCCTGCTCACTTCTTGGCTATGCGCGCTTCCTTCACGCCGCATCGGCGCCATCTTCAGACGCCTGCGTGACCATGGCCCAAGCTGCCACGACGGCGACGGACGACAATGTCGAGATCCTGGTCCACGTCGCGGCGCCAGCCATGAGCAAGGACGACGCCACGTACAGAGCGCTAGCAAATGCGTATCTCGCCTTTCATGCGGCGTCTTGTACATCCTTACCTGCGTGCACCTCGCAGCATGCGCCACAGGGTCCAACGACACCAGAGCCGCCGTCCTCGAAGACGCACGAACCGTTCGGCCCCTCCTTTGAATCCGCAGAGCTGTCGTTTGAAGGAGCATGGGATAATGCCGACTCCCCTCGGCTCGCAGCTTTGCCACATAGCCAGCCTTACCAATCGTCACACCCAACGAGCGCCCCGTCGCACAGATCGCCGCCAGGCGACGATGCCGAGATGACGGATGCCGAGGACTCGTGGATCGCGCCGCCGAGTACCGTCCCAGACTCGATGCCCTGGAACGACCTTCGACTGCCAGAGCTCTCCTCTCCCAGCCGGACAATGGAACACTTTCTCGGTCTGCTGGAAGACTGCTCAGCACTCGACGACTCATCTCTCGACGATTCGGTCATGGGAACGAGTCCCATCCGACGTGGGGGGGAAACCGCACCGCAGATCAACAATGAGAGCAAGAGCGTCGGAGCCGCTGTGCCTCCGGTCGTGCGGCATGACCTGACCGGTCCTGTTTCCAGGGCTGAGGAGAATGGAGGCGATGATAGTATCATCGAAGAGACAATCCTCGAAGACACGACTGTCGAAGACACCCCCATGCCCCGCCTAAAGCGAAATCGCCCCCATCATTCGCGCGCTGGTTCCGATCCTCTCCCAAGCAAGCACGCAAGACTGCCCTCTTCAGATCATCTGGCGCGAAGCTCGAGCGACACGGGGCCCGCGTCCCCCAGTCCACAGACCCCTGCCTATCCCTTGACGCTGCGCAACCCATCCGACTCAACCTTCATCTCGCTGCTCGAGATCGAAGCCCCGGCTCCCAAGACGTCCGCGGCATCCCTCTCGCCAGACGATCTGATCACCCCCAACATGCACCTCCTCATGCGCTCCTTTGGCCTCCCCCGGCGCCTCGACTCGGTCACCCGCCATCGTGCCCTCAAGCCGTTCGAGCGCGGGTACTGGCTCCTGGACTGCGCCGGCTGGGAACCGGGCCTCGCTCATCGGGCTTGGGGCTTCCTGTACAACTACATCACGGACGGATTCGCCGGCTGGGGCAGTCGTTGCGTGCGGGAGGCGGGGTGGCAATGGATCCGGTTCTGGAGCTTCGGCCATGTTGCCAATCACGTCTATCTCCTGCTCCACGTTGCTACCGAACGGGCGATCAAATCGGAGGAGATTGCTTGGGTTGACGGTGCTGGCGATGTCGTCCTGGTCACTAAGGGGCATGCATAGCTGGGTGCTTGTCTCGATTATCGGTGTTTAGTTGGTGGTTCGTTTGTTGGGATGGCGTCAGGTTTTGCATAGCGACGGGGGTTCTTGGATCATTCGCAGACAGCATCAATGGGTTGGCATGAGTCGGTGGTCGGTTTTTGGCTACATTTTCCGTTTTGGAGACGATGCAGGCGATGGACACATATCTCCGAAGAGTAATCCGTGAGATCTCAAAGTATAGTGTCCCGAGGCTGGTATCGATGGTGCTACAGTGAAGATGAATTCGCCCGCCCACCACAAACAAGAAGGGGAAACCATTCCTGCACATCAAGACAAGCATAAGTACCACGCCGCTGCCGGCCTATCTTCCAGAGATCTACACACGGAGTACCGCAAAACCGGTCAAGTCGGTAACAAAAAACGGGTCTTTACATCGTTCGCAATACACTACTACTCCAGACAGCATTATACAGTCACTCAAGCAGAGGGCGAGGCGGACTTCCTCTTGACCTCCTTGTTGAGCACGCTCGAGACCTCCCTGGCGTAGCGCTCAAAGTCGGCCGTCGCGAGATCCTCGTACACCTATACATGGTCAGTGACGCTTTCAAAAAGACTGTCGAGAAGAAATTGGCTAGGCCTACCTGTCGCTGCTCCTCGCTCAGCTGCTTGTACTCCTCGGCAATGGTGCGCGTGGCCTCGGTGACGCTGCCGCTAAAGTCGCCGCTCGCCCAGCGCGCCTTGAAGAAGAGGTTGTAGACGGTCGTGGGCCGCTTGGGCAGGCGCTCGTCGCGGATGGGGAAGCGGTGCGTGACGCCCTTGCCCTTGTTCACCTTGCGACGCAGCACGTTGCGCGCATTGTTGGCGGCGACAATCTCGGCGGGCGTGTGGCTCTCGACCCAGGCCTTGTAGGCGGCGTTGTTGGCGACCTTGTTCTTCTCGGCGAGGTCCTTGAGGCGCTGGTCTGACATCAGTCTCTATACACACACATACACACACACGCAAAGTACGCCTGCCAGCGCGTCGCCTCAAGAGAGAAACAAACATATGGCAGCGGGAGGGGCCAGGGGCTTGCTTACCTCAGTCTCGGCAGCGTCCAAAAGTCTGTACTCCTCGGCCAGCTGCTTCGAGCGCTCGCCGAGGCTGGCCTCGCCAGACTTGATGTTCTGGGTCGTGAAGAGGGTCCAGACCGTCTCGGGCAGCTTCTTCGGCTCCTTGAGGAGAGCAATCTTCTTCAGTTCGCGGACCTCCTGCGCGAGCTTCACCTCGGGCGCGACCTCCTTCTTGGCCTTCTTGACCTTCTTCGGCTTGGGCTTGGCGGCGCCCTTCTTCTTCTTCGGTGCCGCCTCCTTCGTTGCCGACTTGGTGGTCTTCTTCGCCTTCTTCACGGGCTTCTCTGCGCCTTCGTCGGCCTTGTTCGCGGGCAGGCGGGCCCAGTGTGTCGTCGTGAAGGTGCGGGCGGGGATGCGGGAGGCAATTGGGGCTGCACGGCAGAGGGTGCTGCTGGGCGCGGCGCGGATGGCCAGGCGCTGGATGGCGACGCGACCGATGGCGGTCAACATGGTTGGCGAGGCTGGATTGGAATGGGAGGAGCTGTAATGATCACGTCGGAGGAGGGCCGGCAGGTTGTCGAAGTACGCAGAGCTGGGGGGAGAGGCAGAGTGCGGATATGAAACCGGTAGTCGTCGTGGTGGTCGTGTGGTGCATGACAGGAATGTGTTGATAGGTTCACGCAGGTGTGGAAACATGTTTACCTACCTACCTTAACCTACCTACCTAGGTACCTTGCCTTACTGGCCCAGGCACCGAGGGCGCTACCTCCTCCCTACCTGCTAGGTACCTTACTCCCTACTTGCGTTAGTGGCCCCCCCTGACGAGAGCGCATTCTCCAATGGGCTGCACGCACAGACCGCTGTGAGAAGATGACCACCTCCTTTTGGGACCCTTTCGTTATGCATCAGTCACAAGTCGACATGAGTGAGCCCACCATTGGATATATCTCCAATGTTCTGGGGATGATTATGGAGGGGAACACGGCGCAGATCTTGAGCATGAAAGTAGGTGAAGGGTATGTTCTGTCGGTGAGATCAAGGTCAAGCTGCCGTCTGGATCCGTGTACAGGTCAATCAAGTGGATGATACGTACCTATCCTGACGAACACAGGGCAGGCACAGTGACCATCCTTTGTTGCCCAACGATTCCCAGAGCTGTGCCCCCCCTCTTCACAACCCCGAACGAGATCGTAAAAAAGTTGAGGCTGCGCTGCGTGATACATTTCAGGCAGCAAAAAGACAAATCAGGCCCCGACCATTCGACCTGTCAAATTCAGCGGAGGTAAAGTGTCTTGCATTGTCTGTAAATGCGCTGAATCCCCAGGGGGTATGGTATGCTTGGTACAGAGCCCTCTGCAACCCTCTCAAGTGCGACCATCATAGGAGCTGTGTCACTGCTTGGAGACGAACAAGTGTTTGGGTGGGACAAAAAGAAATTGAACAGCGCCAGAACATCAATGTCATTGCGCGGTGACAGTGTGCTCATTTCAAATCGTTTAAAGGTCGGCCTGCGTAGGCCACCATCGACAGCTCCAGCATATCACACCACACCAGCAGAGAGTCTAGGATACTATAGCACGACCCTCATCCCAGACCTCACTCTGATTGATTCCCAAGGATGGCTGAAGGACAGAGTTGGCGGCCAATATCGTTACCCGTATATCTAGTGGAGAGTATCGGCGCGCCGAACAACCACCATGCCATCTTCGTCCTAACGAACAAGAAAGATGGATCTGGCTACAAATTCCATGTCAAAGGAAGCATCCAGCTCGGTATGCTGTACGAGGCCGCAGAGCATCACAGACCGGAGGACTCGCCCGAATACCTGGGCAAGTCGTGTCTTGGGTGGGTGGATGTGATCGACTACCCTCGCGTCAACGACATCTGCACCAATGTACCGCCACCGAGGAAGCAGTTTCATGGAGCCAAGAGGTTGTACCCGAAGGAGCCCCTGAGACGCTGCCAGGAATGGGTCAAGGAGGCGACTCAAGCGTTGGAGAGCAATGGAGTTTTACACAGATCAAGCCCCATCGTTGAAGCTCCTTGAGATATCCCGACAATCCCCCGTTGAGAAGCATCAGGCTAGGATATAGGGTTCCGATCTCTACCACGGTAATGGTAGTGGAATCTTCAATGAGTAACTCAAGCACAGTGCTCTTCTACGCCGCTCAGGAGAGAAACTAGAGGGGAGGCCAATCAGAGGCAGAACGTAGAGGAAGTGACCGAACTCACCATCAGACCGATGCCTAAGATAAAAACGGGAGAGAAAATGAGGAAAAGCGTCTTTCTTAGTTATTTGTTCTGAATCCGTTGCTTTCCATTACTTGTAGAATCAACAAAACTGGCGTCATGGAGAATTTCTTTTGCGCCCCTTCTGCTATAGCCGAGGCGGAATCGGCCCCTCGAGATGCTGGACTCCAGATCTCCAAACTTCCCGTGATGTTCGACCCGCATACTTGACTTGTGATCTCACAAGGAAATGTATTGACAGCCTTCGTACACGACAAATACAACGGTCTGAGCCCACCTGGTAAGGGTGTACGATGACGTTGCATTGTGAACAAGCAACTAAGCCAAACGTGCCACTGCTCTATCCTGCTCCCACTCAACACGAATGCACTGTTTTGTCTCTTTCATCTTCGTCTTGACCAAAGGTTCCAGTGCTCTTGTTTACTCTATGGATAGCAGATCTCGCCCTACCCTGTAGGTCCCATTCTCTTTAGGTCCGAAGTAGATCGGAGCCAGACGCCTCTAGAAGAGAGCATTAGACGCACAGCTCCTCTGAAAAGTGAAGTTGACCATCCAGGATTTAGTATCCTGGCTTTCCTGTATTCGCTGCGTAAGCTTCTCAGCCTTCCCATCTTCAGCCCCCAAAGACATGCTCGCTATATCCTTAGTGATCCCAGACCCAGTCAACTGCCCCTCATCGTCTTTGAGAATGCGGAGGAAGGTCTGCAGACACTACCCGTAGACCTACGTCTACCTATGGTAGCCGCTATCCCACTCATCTGGCTCTCCTAAAGAGCAGCCACTAGGGCGGATCAAAGTTAAATTGAGCTGCTTAGGCGACTTTACAATCTATAACCGCAAAAGCTCGGAGGTCTTGACTGACCAAGGTAAGGACCTTCCAGTGACAGGTCCATAGTGCTAAATATGTGGCAAGATAGGTCGCATGGGCAGCCACGTAACGCATTGTGGCCACTCCATACCTTACATTCTCCTCAGGAAGCCATACACTGCCTACTTTGATAGAGTGGTCTTGACTATAGCGAAGCCAGGGAGGCCTACCTGCCCTTCCATTGGACTTGAAGGGCCGCCGATGAGCTCTCCTTGTACTCCAAGCGATAGAAGACGCAAGACCTCGCCCGACTTATACTTCAAGATGCTGTTTATAGGTCTGTTGGACGGTGGCTTCCCACTCCGCAAAAACCTCATCGCTCTTCTCTGAAGCGAAGTCACCTTTAAATAGAGTACGAATTGACATTGCGAGAAGGCTGCTGTGAAGGTGTTGTTGAACGTCGCAGGGCGGAGCAATGCACCAGCCATGATTCAGAGCAAGTGTCGCACACTGGGTGGAAGATGTTCACGAGCAGTGACCAACTGTCCACAGATGATGGACTGTTGTTATATACCACAATGCCTCTCCAACTAGGTGTTCGTGTACGACCGTCAGCGAAGTGAATAGGTTATCTGTGGGGGCATGAAGTTGGGCTCTGTCAAGGGGTTGATCGCAACGAGTATGGGCGGTATGAGTACTAGCTCATTGAGAACCGAAGCTTCCCATTGGGTGTTGCACCTACCTGGCCACAAGGCAGGTATGTGCACACACCCTGTCTGATCCCCATCCTCAGGCTGCCAATCGGTACGTACTCCGCCTAGCTGGCCAGAGGCACCAACGAGACGCGAAGCTCTACAATGGACTGGGCTGGAGCTCAACCTCACTGCCGACCTACATCACGATCAATCCATCATCGCAACCTGCACACCATCGCAACCATCGACCACCGCCCAACCCACCACACCTTCCCCCGGTTGATCCCATCTAAACGACGAGCCAGTCTGTTCCCCGCACATACACATCATGGATCACCGTCCGCAAGCTTGGGGCCGTGTACGTCTTGCTCCTCCTCTGCCAACCATCCCGGCGACACCTCAAGTCCATGTAATTTACTGACGCTCCCCTCTCCAGCCCAGAGATGACGTCTACGGCGCCTACGATGCCTCTCACATGAACCCCAATGGCCCCAACCAGGCCACTCAGTCGCCCATTGTCACGGGCACCTCCGTCATCGCCATCAAGTACAGCGAGGGCGTCGTCATCGCCGCCGACAACCTTGCGTCCTACGGCTCTCTCGCCCGCTTCACCAATGTCAAGCGACTGCGGACCTTTGCCGAGTCGACTGTCATCGGCTTCGGCGGCGACGTCTCCGACATGCAGTACCTCGACCGCCACCTCACCTCGCTCGCCATCGATGAGTCCTACGGCAGCCCCGCCATCACCGCCTCGGCTGACACGCTCGACGGCGATGCCGACAAGGCCCGCCCCCGCCTCAACGCCGCCAACCTGCACAAGTACCTCGCCAAGCTCTTCTACGCCCGCCGCACCAAGTTCGACCCCCTCTGGAACCACGTGCTCGTCGCCGGCGTCGACGACGACGACAAGCCCTTCCTCGCCGCCGCCGACCTCCTCGGCACCACCTTCTCCGCCCCGTCCCTCGCCACCGGCTTCGGCAGCATGCTCGCTCAGCCCATCATGCGCCGGAGCGCCCCCGACGAGGAGTCCGCCGCCAAGCTCACCCGCCAGCAGGCCGAGGACGTCATCAAGGAGTGCATGAAGGTCCTCTACTACCGCGACGCCCGCTCCCTCGACTCGTACAGCATCGCCGTCGTCACCAAGGACGGTGTTGAGCTCAAGGAGGACGAGAAGCTGGAGAAGCAGAGCTGGGCTTTTGCCGAAAAGATCAGGGGCTATGGCACGCAGACGGTGTAGAGGGGCGACATGGCGCAAGACGAGATCAAGTTGATGTACCGAGTCCAGAGAGGCCGGACCGGCGTTGTACCACTAGACGGAATTCAATGAAATGGTTGCACGATGAATGACTTGGCTACCTGGCAGAATACTGTGTGTGACTGAACCGTGTCTGAAACACGACGTGATCCGCCTCCGTGGCTTGGCCCGCCGTTCAGCGTTGCCCTGGTCTTGTTTGTCGAATGGGCCGTTGTTAGGAGGCTGCGACGAAACATCATTGTTTATGACAAAGGCACCAATCACATACACACCGACTATGACGAACAAACGTGTCTCTAAAAAACATCAATTCGCTATACTCAATCGACCATATCCTTTCGTGACGTTCCTTTCCTGTAGTACATGCTGAACATGGCCAGCATTCGCGCCGCCTGACATTACCTCCCATCGAAGGAACTCATCCAAACGTGAGAGAAATAAGGGCCGGCCCTTCCCCCGTAATCCCATATTTTACGTCCTCCAACTCCAATTTGGCTGAAGCGACAGGCAGAGAAAAAAATCATGAATCGCAGCAAATGTATCGCGACGATGCTACCTCACATTGCTCTGCTTACTCGACAGTGACCGACTTGGCCAGGTTGCGAGGGAAATCGACGTTGAGACCCTCACCGACGGCGAGCCAGTAGGCAATCAGCTGGAGGGGAATGACGTTCAGAATACCCTGCAGGGCATCGACGGTCTTGGGGATCTCAATCTTCTGAGCCTGGCTGGCACTGAACTCCTCGTCGTTGGGGTTGCAAATGACGATGGGCTTGCCGCTGCGAGCAACGACTAGTGCACAAGTTAGCTGACAGTCTCAAACGGAGGGTAACGGAAGTATACATACCCTGCTGGTAGGCGTTGAGAGACTTGGTGAAGATCTCATCACGGGTAAGAATCATGATGATGGGAAGGTTCTCGTCGACTAGAGCCAGCACACCGTGCTTCAGCTCACCAGACATGACAGCCTCGCAGTGAAGGTAGGAGATTTCCTTGATCTTCAGCGCACCCTCGAGAGCAGTGGAAAACTGGCTGCCACGGCCCAACAGGAGAAGCGACTTCTGGTTCTTGAATGTCTTGGCACAGAGCTCCTTAATGGCCTGGTCCTGGGTAAGGATGTCCTTGATCTGGTCGCTGATGTGGGAGAGACCCTCGATAATCTCCTCACGACGCTTCTGCTTGGAGGCACGGTCTTCGCTGAGAGACAGCGCGAACATGACCATGGCGATGAATTGCGAGGTGTAGGCCTTAGTAGAAGCAACACCGATCTCGGGGCCGGCATTAACGTGCACACCGCAGTGGGTGAGGAGGGAGATGGAGGAGCCAACGACGTTGACAATACCGACGGTCAGAGCACCGCGCTCGAGGCAGTAGCGCAGGGCCATGAGCGAGTCAGCCGTCTCGCCAGACTGGGAGACGAAGACGCAAGTGTCGTCACGGAAGACGGGGGCCTGTCTGTCAAGGAAGTCGGAGGCCAGCTCAACGGCAATCGGGATCTCAGCAAGCTCTTCGAAGATACCACGGACAGCCATGCAAGAGTGGTAGCTGGTGCCGCAAGCAATGAAGATGATGCGACGGCAGCGGCGGATGGTCGAGATGTACGAGCGCAGGCCACCAAGAGTGACAGTCTTGTTAGCAACATCGAGACGACCACGCATAGTGTTGACCACGGACTCGGGCTGCTCGAAGATCTCCTTCTGCATGAAGTGGTCGAACTTGCCCTTCATGATCTCCTGGAGCTCAAGCTCGAGGGTCTGAATAGTACGGACGTTGGAGCTGCCGTCAGCCTTCTTGAGGCGGTGGATGTTCAGCGAGCCCTCGTGGATGTGGGCAATGTCGTCATCCTCAAGGTACATGACCTTCTTGGTGTGCTCAACAATAGCGGAAGGGTCTGAAGAGAGGAAGAACTCGGTCGGCATGGGCATGCCATCGTCGGTCATGAAAGCACGTGACTGAGAACGGTGCAGCAGGGACTTGTCAGGGGCAGCCAGCAGAGAAGTAGGGTTAAGCAGGTCGTTCTGCTTCTTGAGGGCGACATTCTGGGAAGCCTCCTCGGCGGGGAGGGCGGTGTTTTCGTCGGAGTACTCAACATCGACAAAATCGACCTTCATGCGGCGCTGAGTCTTGACGCCGATAACGAGAGGAGAACCCTTGCGAGCGGCAACAACCTCATGGGGGTAGTGAACGGACTTGATCAGCAGACCGTAAGCACCCTCAAGCTCGGAGATGACAGCCTTGGTGAGATCGGTGAAGCCGACGTTAGGGTGCTGGTCGTACAGGTACTTCGCCAGCTTGGCGATGCACTCGGTGTCTGTCTCGGTCTCGAACTTGAAGCCCTTGCTGCTGAGTAGCGTCCTCAGCTCCTTGTAGTTGGTGATGATACCATTGTGGACGACGGTGAACTCCCAAGTGGGGTCGGATCTGCAGCGGGAAGGCAAAAGTCAGCTTGATGTGTGGGTGGAATGGCAATGGCCCTAGTCATTGGGGCGACGCATGGCTTGAGCCGCGCGCGGGCTTTTACTCGGTCGAGCTCGGATCGCAGCTCGAATCAAATTCAGGTGCAGACGTACCGGTGGGGGTGGCAGTTCAGGCGAGAAGGAGGGCCGTGGGTAGCCCATCGGGTGTGGGCAATACCAGCGTGAGAGTCGAAGATCTGGGTCAGGTCGGGCTTGGACTCCTCAATGAGCTGCTTGAGCTTAGCGACCTTGCCAACCTCCTTGTAGGCGAAGACCTCGTTCTTCTTGTCGCCATCGACGGCTAGACCGGCTGAATCATAGCCACGGTACTCAAGGCGAGAAAGACCTGAAAGCGAAGAGTGCGTTAGCATGAAATGGCGGGGCCAGTGTGATGTGTGTTGCCGAGGAGACTAGGAGGCGGGGACAGGGGGAGCACAGCAGTTGTAAAGCCGTGCTAGGCTTTTCAGATTGCTTCGTCTCAGCATGTCAGGAGCTGCTTACCGTTGATCAAAGTGTCTACGATGAACTTGCGGTCCTTCTCCACCAGGTAGTTGACGTAACCGAAAATGCCACTGTTGGAAACGTATCGCAGTCAGCTTCTGGTGGTCAAGACAGCCCAATGGATTCCCATCCGCAGAGCTTCCCCCGGCGAAATTCCAGCACCCAGGCCGTACAGTGACAACCTGGACGCCCAAAGGTCCCGGCAGCCGCTCCGAAACTCTGTAATAGTGCAAGAAAGCGAGGCAAAGCTGGTACATACCACATGTTGACAGAGACTGAAGAGGTACTGTGGGAAAGATAGTAGGGGAAAGAGAGACGCAAGAGTCGCTGATCAGTGCCGGAACGAGGGTGGAGTTCTGTAGGCAAGCGGTTCGGGTATCAAGGAGGAGAATCGGCGTCTGGAGAGGGGTAGAGCAGGTGGAATAGCGAGAGCAGGAGAAGACGAGAGGAGAGAAAGAAGAGATCAATGGAGGGGGAATAGGAGGGAGCTGGGAGAGCTTTATGTGGCCAAGGTCTCAGATGGACTAGGGGAGTAGCGTCTCGAGCTGCTTGGTGGGTGTTGGGTGTTTCTCTGAGGCAGTGACGAGTGGGCAAGGTACGACAAGGCAGTGGAGGGGCAGGGGGGGCCACCTTCTCAGAACCGCGCATGGGCGCGCAGGCGTGGCTGCCAGGGTTGCTGAGTCTCCGGTAGGCGGCTGCCAGGTTGCTCCTGCGACTCGCAACCCAAGTGGAGGCGGTACTCAGGTACCTCCAGCATCCATCATCTTGACCATTTCACCTTGGTCCATCGGAGCGGTGTGGTCTGCGCACTTCAAAGCTGCCACTCAAGGCATCTGTCTTGTTCACGGGCAAAACCAACAGACCTGGCGCGGGACAAAAGACGGGTGCAAGGACCAAGCCCACACAATCCGATGGTGGGGGTAATAAACACATGGCCAGGACCCTCAATTCTGTCAACACTGAGACGCATGGGAATGCCCATTTACCAGCCTCTAACAGCAACATCAGTCTCACTTCATGTTTCGGTTTTCTTTCACATGCGATCAGGTCAGCAAGCAAGTACTGAGATCTAGATTCATGAAGTCACATCAAGGAGAAACATCTTTCAGAATCCGGAAGTCCACCCATGAGCTGGTGTGAGACGGTCTGCATTTCTTGCCCGTTTTCTACCCGTTTGCAGACATCCAACAAAACTAGCTGAACCACCATTCAACCCCTCGTTTCTTCTGCTAGCTGCTGCTTCTGCATATGGTCGAGCCGGCGACAGACAACACATCATCTGTCAACGGTTTGCCTTGGTCGCAATGCACTGCATTGCAACATTGCCGCTCCGACCACATCACCCACGATACCTGACGCCAGATCATTCTAGCGTCCGACCACGATCGCTACACGAACTCGCTCGTCGTCTCTGGCAACAACAAGTGGAGGGGCAACAAACATGGCAGCGGCGAATGCAACCCTACACACTACCGGCCGGCTAGCAAGGCGAGGAACCTAGCTTAACAACAACCCCTGGCCAGACCGATGGAGTGCTCTCGAAAACACGCAGCCCGCTAAGACGGAGCCGGTTAGCGTCACTGCCTTCTGTGGCAGGGAGCATCGCTTTTGTAACGCGCCACTCGCCGCTCACTATGCCCCGTCGAGCCCGCCAGCCCAATCGTCATCCATAATGATCTCCAGCTTATTGAGATGCTCCCGCAGAGACTTTTATCTGCGACACAGATGCATCCCAGTGCGGCCATCTGGGCATGTACGTACATGACACAGCCGACATTCGAGGAGACGTAGGGTCCTCAAAATTACCCATCTCTCTCCAAAATATCACTCGTGTCCAGAGGGCTCCTCCACAAAATCAGATGATAATCGACATCGCAACCTGGAGATCGGTCCCCTCCCCAGCGTTTCATCGCATACATCATCGCGACCCCACCTCCACTTCGTATTGCCCTGGTACGCTCTGCCCGACCTCTCGTCCCGCAAAAAAATACCACATGTCGTGTCATGCTGTTGACCCTGTTTTCCCGATACTACCATTTCGCCGGTTTGGGCGCTAATCCGGTTGAGATCGACGGCACTTCCGAGTCTTGTAGCGCCGCCACCGAGCCAGCTCAGGTACGAAGTGAGGGCAAAGCTCCAGTCTGGCCTAGCCACCATCCGGCTGGGTGCGGTGCGAGCACGAGGTGCAGCCTAGGTGTACAGCCTCAGCGGAAATGTGGGAGCTATTGCCCCCCATGCGCACTGGGCATCCCCGCCAACACACCAATAATAGCATCAGCCCGGATCTCGCCAGGAACCCCTAAATCGCTGCGCCTTTCTTCGCCAATACAGACATGCACCCTCGTTCTTGGTTTTATTTTCGGGTATCATTGAGACGCAGATATTTGGCCTTCAGTGAGACCGGGCGCCGCCACGTATCCACCACATGTGCAAGTGGAACGCCGCGGTTGTCCCACACATCTTGTTGCGAAGCACGACATGCTGCGAAGTCCAATGCTGCCCCTTTTTTCGTGACGGGGTCCCCTTGCTGAGGCTGAGCGCTGCCGTGCCTAGGTATGCGACCAAGCCTAGCTTTTTCTGATGTCAGCACATAGGCGATGAACGTCCAGGCAAGCAAGGCTGACCCGACCAAATGTGATGTGCGTACGGCAGTGTGGAATCCTGAACCCTGGGATGGGTTGGGGCGCCTTCCCTGGTACCTAGGTATTCACGGCGCGCAGGTCTTGCAGTGACGCAGACTGCTTTAGACGTCACCGTTGCATTTGTAGTCCGTATTCAAGCTTAAACATGTGGAGCTTCCGGACTTACGCAAGGCTGTTACAATAATACGTAGAGCCATGCACGATCTGCTATCAACCCACGTTTACAGGTGCCATCCATTGCGGCTGCAGGAGACAAAATCAACTTCGGCTTGTTCAGCCCGTGATGTTTCCTTTTCCAGTGCACCAAACCCAGTATATTCGGGTCCGACCGCCCAGAGAAGGTATAACGTGAGATGTCTAGTGGTAAGCAGACTGTCGCTGAACCTCGCTGCGCCAGCAATCGCTACATATCCCCTGCCCGAGCCAACACATTCCCGTTGGAGGTCCCGGTTGTGATAATGGGTATTGTGACCCTGTTACAACTATGAACCTTACAAGCCCTGGTCCTTCGAGATGACTAGCTATCGTCGTCCCAGTCTAGAGCTTCTGGTACTCAAGCTTGCCCTCGAGCTTCTTCGACTCGGCAACCTTGCGAACGGCCTTGTTGAAATCGTCTTGGCTGATGGCATCACGGTAGTCCTTGATAGCGAAGAGGCCACTGTAAAACTAATCGTTAGTTGTGTGTTGTTTGAAAGGATGCGGGAAAAAACATGAACGGGGCAGGAAAAAACAAGTAGAAAAAGAAAAGATGGTTCAACATACGCTTCCGTAACAACATTGCGCAGATCAGCACCGTTCAGTCCATCGCTCATCTTGACTACGCTCTCAAAATCAATCTCGCCATCGGTGATGACACCGGCAGCGTGGATCTTGAGAATCTCCAGTCGCCCAACCTCGTTAGGCAGAGGAATCTCAATCTTACGATCGAGACGGCCGGCACGGAGAAGAGCGGGGTCGAGGGTATCGGGTCGGTTGGTGGCCATGATGATCTTTGTCTTGCCAAGGTAATCAAAACCGTCGAGTTGGTTGAGCAGCTCCATGAGCGTCCGCTGGATTTCACGATCCGCACTGGTACCCTCAGAGAATCTTCGACCACCAATGGCATCAATCTCGTCCATGAAGATGATGCAGGGTTCATGCTCCTTTGCGTAGCCGAACATTTCTCGAATCAAACGGGCTGACTCTCCGATGTACTTGTCGACGATGGCAGAGGAAACGACTATGTTGACTGTTATTCGCTGCATCGCGCCACGATAGTCTGGGAACTAGACTTACTCTTCAGGAAGTTTGTCTCGAGACTAGATGCAACAGCACGTGCCAGGAGGGTCTTTCCGGTACCAGGGGGGCCGTATAGGAGGACGCCCTTGGGGGGCTTGATACCAACACGCAGGAACAGCTCGGGGTTTTTCAGTGGCAACTCAATAACTTCGCGGAGTTCGCGAATCTGATCGTTCAGGCCACCAATACCGGCAAAGTTTACCTGGCCGGGATCCTCAAGGGACATGTTGTAGACGAGAGGGTCGACTTCGCGAGGGAGCATGCGCATGATGGTGAGTGTTGTCATGTCGAGGGCGACGCGTGTTCCCTGCTTCAGCTTCTCCTTGTCGAGCTTCGTTCGGCAGCCGACCACATACCGTGGCCCAGAGGAGGCCTTGACGATGACTTTGAGGCAGAGGCTTGGTCAGCGCATGTCGGTGTTTGAAATGGAACAACGAGAACAAGCAACGTACATCGCTCATCTGGTAGCTGTTTGAGGACTTCACCGATAATCTGGCCTACACTTTGCAACGCCTTGATGGAGTCTTCGGTGCGGTCAAACTCCTTCTGTAGTTCCCTAATCTCCAGGCGCAAGTCCTTCAACTTCGTCTCGAGCTCCCTCGACTTGAGGAGCTCGGATCGGTAGGCATCGAGGGCCTGCTGGCGTTCCTCCTCGGACGACATGACGGGCTGGAGATTTCCTGGGCTTTTGATAGAAATGAACGTATCAACGGCGCTGTGGGGTTGTGTGATGTGTTCGTTGCGGATGGTCGGTGGTGTATCGCAGGCGGTTTGGTGTGACGGATTAGAGGCAAGGCAGCTACAGCATGTACGTAGCTCTCCGTTGTTCGAATCCAGGAGCAATCGCGTTAGTAGCATACGCTTAGCCGCGTTACGCGACAGGCGTCTCTTGATTGGCGGGTGCTGACAAACAATGACCCGTTTCTAATTGATGCAGGCGCTCGTGTACCGCGACCATCGCTAGAACACCATGACGTTGGGTACTTTACCTAGGTAAGGACCAATATGGTACAAGTGCTGCCATACTCATTGACGACGCTGTACCGTGACCCAAGCTTCGTTCTCGACATTTAACACAGAAGTTGACGCCAAGTCTTCAGTTTGTGGCTTCTCGTATATACATGTGTCCTAAGTTCCGTCGCTGAACACCACCTCTTGCTCGAGATTGAGGCAGCTATGGCGCTACTTGCCGGATTGTCCAATATGTATCGCAGCGCAGTGCTCACACAATGCCTCCAAAGTGTCGACAGGAAAAGGTGCCTTCCTTGCTCTCTAGCAGTGATGTCATTATTTCCTAGAATACAGTATTCAGCCTGGCTTCTTACTTTATTGCGTTGTGGAAGTCTTACTGCATCCACAATTCATACGCCAGATACCGCACCCGGCAGAGCTACGGGTTATCGCTCTATCCCCCAAAATATGCTTTGTAAACCAGGCCTGATTGTCATCTACTGGTTACTTTTCAGTTACACCTGGACTCTGCTATGGTGCATGGTTCTTAATGCGTAAGACCCAAAAATGACTGTCTGACCTGAACAACAAAAATACCATACGTACACGACAGTGGTCGACTTGGCCCATAAGTTTACTGACATGGTGGAAACAGTTTCGCATAAAAGATGGTATACCTTGCACTTGCGGCTAATCCGATTGAAAACCGTGCAGATGCTGGCACCCGGTATTCAATTCGGCTACTCAACCGGAGACATTTGTCACTTTGAGCAAGCTAGCATGCGCACATCGCGATGGCCTGGATGGCAGCTTTCAAGACGACGCTCAAAGTCACGGCGTCCCACCGCGGCCAATACGACTTAAGACCAAAAGTCCAGATACTCAGAGTTGATCCTTGAGAATCGCAGCACACGTGCCGTTTGTGTGCCAGTCTCCAGAAACTGCTTCCACCGGAAGAACGAGCCATCCCCTCGTCATTCTCAGCTATCTAGCCTATCTTTGATTGAGCTTCCAGTTGATTCTGCATGCAAACAACGACTACGTACGACCAGAGGGTACGCGCAAGAATCTCGGCATATCTAGTGGCATCATAAAAGGCAAATGCAGGCATTCGTGAGAATGCTTAATCTTACTACGGGAAAATGAAGTAGGACTCTCCAAATGCTAAATCGTTAGGTGATAAGGTGAGGCTCCAAACTAATTAACATGAGTGTTCGATATCCAAGCAGTAAACGCCTCGTTAACTCCAGGGTATCCGGAAAAAGTTCATACAATCATGGCCGTTTTGCAGGCCTCAGCTGAACATCATCAGGCACTGCCGCTGTCCTTTGTTGCCGCCACCACCCCTCAGCTTGCTAATTCTGTTGAGATCTCCTCCCTCACCCTTTTGCACCACGCCCAAATGGCTGTCTCGAGTCCGAACCAGACATCAGGAGTACTGTTGTAGACTATGCCGAGAGCATCAATTTTGAGTGGCACCTCCCACCTGAGTTCTGCTGCCTTAATCCAATATCGAAGATTATCAGCGCAACGGTACGGCTTTTCCGTGTCCTCATGAAAGGTAGTGATGCCGCCGAATCGGCGGCTTGACTTCTTGACGGCAGCGTTATGAAGCTTCACAAGACGAAGCCCATTCTGCATGCTTCTGAGAAAAGGAGTAGGGAGATCGCCAGACGCCAAACCCGTCGATGGCGTATATTCTGGGAGTGGTCCGAGGCCCAAACCAACTTCAAGAGAAGCCATAAAAGAGAGCTCCCGTTCCACTTCCTTTCCAGCCCAGTCACCATGGAGCCAAGTCCAAGTGGCTTGCTCGGCACGCTCGGCCTCCTCCATATCATGCTCCTGCTGAAGCATGGCGAAGAGACCTTGGATCCACCTGTCGAGGATGTCAAGCTCTTCGTCACGCATACCTCCAGCCCATCGACGGGTTGCCATCTGCTTCAGCGTTTCCATGACGGAAAATATGTCGGCGCGGATCTGGCGCTCGGGTTTGATCGCGTCGAGGCGTTCTGGCTGTTCGTGTGCAGTGTAGTACATCTTGGCGGCGCGAATAGCGAGCGTCATGACGTCGAGAATGTGCATCCCCTGGATTTCGAACCAACCATGGGTCTTGGAGGATTTCTGGCGAGTATGACCGCCTGCTGGATTCCTAACCTCAATCGTGGGAGTTTCGGCGAAGGGATGCTCTTGCTCCTCCGCCGAGTCTTGACGTGCCCTCGCTTCCTTGAGAGATACTGCTGCTTTCTCAAGTGAGCTGGTGAGAGATGATTTGAGTTCTGCTATGGATGGCGGCTTCGGCACTGGCTTCTCGCGGTTGATATAGGTACTAGCTGTCGGGGGAAGCATGTTTGGGTCGCCGTCTTCGAATTCGTCGGAATAGTATTCGTCATCGAGGGGTGACTCGACCATTGGTCCAGCAGTGAATCCAGAGGCAGCAAGATCAGGGCTGCTACCCATTGAAGCATTTGAAGAGTCGGAATCAGAGGCGAACAGTGGCAGTGATAGGTTCGCCGCGTCGAGGGATGACAAATCTAGTCTTCCTCTCAGTTTCCTGTTCTTCCTCTGAAGCTGACCACCCTTGCCGTCAAGCAGGCCGGTGCGGGCGAAGTAGTGCTGAACATGGGCGATGCTCCCAAGACTCATGACGCTCTCCCTCGACTGGGCACTTGCGGCAAAAGCCGTACCTTGGGGCCGCATGTATCCGCGTCGTCGACTGGCACGACTGTCCACACTGTAACTCGAATGGCGGGATGAGGCAAAGCTCACATCGGAGCGGCGGCCATAGCTTGCAGATGACTGCCTGGAGAATGCATCGCTTCCCATGCTCCCAAGGGAGTCCCTAGGGGTGAACTCCGTGCCAGACCCGTGGGATAGATCGGATGCTGTCGACAGACAGCGAGAGAGCTCAGGGTAGGCTCCTATCGCTGGTGTTGGGTCTATCTCAGGCGAAGGGGACTCGGCCCGCGTCGGTGCGGCCTGGTGATCGGTAGCCGTAGCCATGCTCGTCTGTTCGAAAGTCATGCAAATAGTCGGCAGTGAAGCCAACAGCGGTAGGCGGATAGTTCAGCCTTTAAAATGAATGACGCAGGCGAGGTCAAGGGAAGCTCCCCTAGCTCAGCTTTGTGGGAGTGGAATGTTGATGTTTCAGGTCGTAGGCGGGGCGACGAGCTGTAGGAATTAGTAGTCGTTAGGACGTCTAGGTAAGGCGCTCTGTGTTGTAAGAAACATCAGAGAGTATATACAAGGCGCGAGAAGATAGCTGTTGATGCGATCGTCGGCACTGCGCAGCAGCCATGGAGGGGTTGCAGAACGACCAAGCAGGCGGGAGTCAAATGGCTGCTGTAGAACACGAAGGGGGTGGTAGGGAATGTTTTCGTGGAGGGATGGCCTCGGACCGAAGCCGTTGAAATGAGTGGACGGTGGTGCTCTCAGCAGGCAACGCAACGCAAAAGACCAACGGCAGCAACGAAATAGGCGCAAAGCGGAGAACGGAAGGCCGATGGCTTCAGTTTGTCATGGATGGTGTGAGGAGAAACGAGGCGAGGCGAGCGAGCAACTGTCCTGCTCAAGGGATCAGGGGTTCGCTTTGGAGCTTTTGGCTGTCCAATGTCTTGCACTGTCTCCAAGCTCCCAGCTCCAATAGGAGACACCTGTCTGAGTTAGCCCCACAGACCAATTAAAGGGCGGGTTGCTGGGGAAGGAGAGGTCGAGGGCGTGACGTGAGGACACAGAAAGCGCGTCGACCTCCGACGTTTCCTGCTTGTGCTCGTGCTGGTGGTGGGGGCAGCAATGGCACGCGTCGAAACAATCAATAATAATCAAGGGCTAGCCACTGGAGACGCCGTACATGAGTGGCACCTGACTGGACATCCAATATAAATCGGCGCTGGGCGGGAACGGGGTACCAATTCGGCAAAGAACTACTTACCAGGCAGATGACGCCAAGAACCACGGCCCTGTGCACTCAATTGCTTCTTACCTGCCAAATACTAAGATTTCCCAGGTGGCTTTCGCTTCTCTTGTCGACAATACCCATCTCGAAAGCTGCTGAGGACTTCTAAACAGTGCACCATGTCTACTTGTTGGTCTCGAGATGAGATGTATAAGCCTGGGAATCGAATACTAGCCATCTTTCGGCCATTCGAGTTATGCTCCAATCACGTTCATTGCCTTCGCCTTCTGGTCCAAAGAATGCCAGCCATCTGATCCATTGCCATTTGTCAAGAAAGTCATTGTCAATAGGGCATACACGATCTTGCGTCATACCATATCCATCTCTGCCGATATCCCCTGACACCCCAGCGCCGCTCTTGGGCCGCTGTTGCCGATGTGACTGCAGGTCGAGGTCGAGATCTGTCATCACCTGCGTCAGGGTCCCGAAAGGAACACCCAAACCCCATGGATCGTCAAGCTCGTTGACGCTACCATGTTGATAGGCCATTCCCCGCGTTGCCGAGCACCGAAAGACGCCAAAGCCCAGCCAGAGCTGGACAAGGCGATCTCCCTTGAGGCCACTCCTGTATATCTCGCAGCCATCCACTCATTATACTGTCTGTCCCAATATCGCGACACTTATCGCCAACCACTGCTCCAGATCTGCTCTCGAGTGGATACACATATCCAATGTGAATGGGTTTCCCAAGAGTCCACTGACCACTCCTGGGCTAGAGCCCAGCCCGGCTGTCTGGGCTGTTAGGGTAGACTCGCTGGGG